CCTTGAGACGAGGCTAGAGTAGCCAGACTCCCCACACTGCCTACAGGGCAGGAAATCGCCAGGCCTCCCTGAGGTTCACACCACACCCAGCATCTGTTGGTTTGGGAGTCACAGGCAGCACAGGCAGGAGGACAAAGCCCTGTAGTGGTCTACTGGGCCGGCTGGACTCTGGCTACCACAGCCACTGTTACAGAAAGGGCTCTGCTGATGGCAGAGGCCTTGGGTGGGGAGGTCCTGGCCGGATCAGAGTGGGGAGGCCCGGGATGGATCAGAGTGGTTCCCTGGCCCACACCAACACAGAGCAGTACTTTGGGGTGTAGCTGTGACCCCATGAAGAAATGCCAGGCCTGGGTAGGAGCAGAGGACACTTGTTCTTTCACTCGGCATTCACTCCCCCAGCCTGCTACGGCCACCCAAGACCTTACCTGGCTCAGCGTGGGGGGCCAGGAATCCTGCCTAGGTGCCCTGGGGGTCTTAACTCCTGAGGGAAGCAGGGGGACTGGGGGCTCTTGCATGTCTCTAGGGTGGGAAGGAGACTGGGTGGGTTACCATCTCCCTACAGCAGAAGTAGGGTGTAGTGGAAGTGGGGGTCCCACATAGCCTAGGGTGCAGGACTTCCTCCAAGCTGCACCCACAGGCCCAGGGCCTGACCCACCTGAGAACAAGCTGGGCAGGCAGATGTGCCCTCTGGTGGCTATATGAGGAATTAGGAAAGGTTTGCCCTAAAATGCAGCTTCTAAGCCAAGAGGAAGGGGGGTGGAATGAAATCCTGGGACTTTGCCACAACGAATCTTGCACATTATAACACATTAATTAAAATAAGAAGAACGATCGAAGGGATTATCAGCAGAGTGGAGCAGAGCAAGCAGAAGGGGGGAGGAGACCTTGGGGAATAAGCCGATTATGTATGTGCACCTAGGAGTGTACAATCATAATGCACCAAAAACTCACATAAATAAAATAAAATGTTGCTTGCAGAGAGAACCGCTGTGTGCAACCCTCTGGCTAAAGACAAAAGCTGGACAGCATGAGCACGCATGCAGGGCACCCAGCGCCCCAGGCCTGAGGCCGTGAGAGAAGGAAACAAGGGGGCCTGTGCTCCCTGGCTTCCCCAGTGGGCATCTTCCCAGGGTGGATCAGAGAAGAGAAAACAGACAACCTTGCTGAGCTGAGGAACAGGGACTGGAGGTAGGCAAATCTAGAAGGGAAAAACAGGAGAAGGAGCCCAGGAACCTGGTGCAGACTCCCTACAGGCTGTGGCCTGCCCAGAAGCTGCATGAGGACTGGGAAGCTCCTGAGGAAGGAACAGCTGCAGGGTCCTGCGCTCGCCCTGTGCGAGGATCAGGCTGACCCTGAGCCCAACAAGGCAAGGCCGGTAACACCCCAGGTTACCAGGGATCTCCCAGGAGAGCACAGAAGTCCCCTCTCCAGAGGCAAGGGCTCCCCAAACAAATAGCAGCTCTGTAAGCCCCAGAGTAAGCCTTCACAGGGCCCAGAGGATGCCCCAACAGGCTGGCTGCCACACAGGGAGGCCTGACCTGGTCCAGAGCAGGCCACACTGCGCTGGTCCCTTCGCAGTAACAGGTCTACCACAGCCAGCATTAAATCATCACCAGGCATGCTCCCAAAAGGGACCAGATCATGAAAACCAGGGAAAAGACACTCAACTGCAACAGACTGGAAGGTGACTGGGACAAAGGTGTTATCAACAAGGGCCTTTACGATCACCTACACGAGCCAGGCATGGTGGTGCACACCTGTAATGCCAGGGACTCGGGAGGCTGAAGTAGGAGGGTCACAAATTCAAGGTCTGTCTCAAAAAATAAATAAAAAGGGGCTCGCTCAGGGTGTAGCTTTGTGGTAAAGTGCCCCAGGGTTCAATCCCTGGCACCAAAAGAAAATCACCTCCATGCTAATTTGTTACTCCTCTGCTCAAGAGTTCACTGTGGCTCCCCTTCACCTTTGGTGAGGCAGTCACCATCCTCTTTGGAAGCAACTTCACAGAGTGGACCCAAAAAGGAGATGGGAGATCTGACCATAAGAGTGGCCAGGCCAGGGTGTGACTTCAGGCACACCCGGCTTCAGCCTTCCCTCTACAAATAAGGACTGGAGGAAAACTTCCAAGTCTGTCCTGGGAGGCGTGCCATGTACAGCAAAAGGCCAGGTCCTACCACAGAGTGATGACAGTCGGGTGGGACTGAGGCAGCCACCTTGCGAAAACGACCCCCTGCCCTCAACACTTCATGAATCCCTCGCACAGTTGACTTAAAAAGCTGGTTCCTGCCCTCTTCCTTCCCACTCCACTCCAACAGGTGACTGGTTTCAGCTCCACTTTCTGGCACTTCTTCCTATATAACATTTATACTGCTGCCTGTGAAGGCACACACCTGTGATCCCAGCAGCTCAGGAGGCTGAGGCAGGAGGATCTCAAGTTCAAAGCCAGCCTCAGCAATTTGGTAAGGCTCTGGGCAACTCAGTGAGACCCTGTCTCAAGGACGATTCACCATTTACACTCCCAGCAGCAGTGACTCTCACTTGCCCCACATCCTTGCAAAAGCTCATGATTTTCATTTTATAATTTTCATCTTTGTTTTTTTCTGCCACTTGGCTTTTTTGTTCAGCATCAATTATGAACTTCACCCTCTTTTTCTTTTTTCCAGTGACAAATAAAGTTCAGGAGCATCAGGAAGGCTCCTGATAAGAGCGTCTGGATGCCGGGAGACCTGAAGAATGATGAAATGCAAGCCATGCAAAGGAGAAAGGTGGGAACCATGTTCCTGGCAACCAGGACGGCCTGTGCAAAGGCCTGGGGGCAGAGAAAGAGGTGGAGAAAGCCAGGCATGAAGGTAAGTTTCAACCTGGTACATCATGCTCAGGAGTTTGGGTTTTATCTGATGTCCAGAGAAAGCCAGTTCAAGGTGAAGTGAGAGACCCAAAACCTACATGAGATTTAGAAAAGGTAGCTCTAGATGCTTGGGAAGATGAGACAGTGGCAGGAACCAAAAAAAAAAAGGGAAGCTGTGGCATTTACCTTGGCAGGGGACGGTGGCAGGAACCAGGGGTGGATAGCAGAGTGGAAAGGACAATTTAAGATTCATTTAGAAGGCAGACTTGCCCCATCTCTTCCTCTCCCTCTTCCTATCTTCCTACCCTTTCCCCTTCCCTTTATCTCCCCTCATTTTTCTTTTAAAAAAAATCATCATTATTGATAAATAATTCAAACATTATATGACATACACACCCTTTTTTTCTGTATGTGGTGCTGGAGATTGAACCCAGGGCCCGTGTGCTTGCTAGGTAAGCACTTTACCACTGAGCTACATCCCAGTCCTTTTTATTTGAGACAGGGTCTCAGTAAGTTGCCCAGGCTGGCCATGAACTTACGATCCTCCTGCCTCAGTCTTCCAAATTGCTGGGATTACAGGTGTACACCACCACATTCAGCAAAACTCGCCCTTTTAAAGCATGCAGTTAGTTCAATGAGTCTTATATACTCAAAGTGGCACTACCGTTCCCTAATCAAACATAATCATTACTTCCGAAAGCAACTTGTACCCAACAAATATTCTCCACGCCTCACACTCTTCCTGACTTTGTGAATTTTCCTATTCTGGTTATTGCATATAAATAAAATAGATGAGTGATCTCGGGCTGCTACAACAAAGAACTCTAGATGATGATTTAAGCAGCAGATATTTATTTTCTGTTTGGAGGCTAGAGGCTGAGATCACGGGCCACACAGCGGGTTACGGTGAGGGCTTTCCTTGGCTGCTAGAGGGCCGCCTCTCCCTGCATCCTCCCGGGTGGAAGGCAGAGAGGGAGGGAGGGAAGAAAGAGCTCTCGGGTGTCACTTCTCCCATGGATCGGGGCTCCACTTTACGACCTCAATCCGTCCAGCTTACTCCCTTAGAGGCCTCCCCTCCGATACACAGGACTGGAGGTCAGCGCTCCACCCGACAAGTGCGGAGCGGGCTCGGGGCTGGGCTCGGGGCTCGGCCCGGAGCCCGGGATCGCGCCGCGTGACCCGCGGGCTGCGCTCTCCTCGGCTTTTCCAGGTGCGTTCCGGGCCAGCCGGTGTCAGGACCCCATGCCCCCGCACCGATGACGGCCCACCTTCTGTCCTTCCTTCGGGACCTCGGCTGCTCCCGCTGTGTGCTGGCCGGGAGGCCGCAGGGGCAGGCCGCTCGCCGGGCAGCCCAGCCCGCGCCGGGATCAGCCGCAGAGCTGCGAGCTGGCAGCCGGCTCCGGGCGGCCGCAAACCCCTGTGCCGCGTCTACCGGGTTGAGAGCGCGGGTGCGAGGAAGGCCCCGCCGCGACCACCAGCAGGGTCAAGCTGCCACTCTAAACAGCAGAGGAGACGCTCCCAGAACCACCGAGTCGCCACCCGACCCCACCGACCTCACGAGACCGTCGGCCCCGCGCAGGCGCCGTGGGGTCGCCGACGGACGAAGAGACACGCCTCGGGGGCGGGGCGATGCGCGCGCCTGCGCCGTGGCGCTCCCGCACGGAGGCCGGAAGGCAGCGCGAGGGGCGGAGCGAGCGAGGGAAGCCCGCGGCCCGCAGGACGGCCGTCGCGGCCGGATGACGTCGCACAATGGCCGGCCCCCGCGGGTAGTGGAGCCCGTTTGTTCCGCCAGCGTCGCGCCTGAAACCGGAGCCCGTGAGGAGCCGAAGGGCCG